TATAAGTTGCATCAACGATTTAACAGACTTTAATTGCAGTGTTCTTAATCTTTATAAGTTAGTAGTACTGTTCGGGTTTACAGTGTGGGGGCGTGTTAGAACGAGCCGTTTTAGGTAGGTGTGGTTGACTCTTAACTTTTATAAAGAATGTCTCTTTGGATTTGAGACTTTAGTCTTTGCAACTTTACAGATCTTCTTTATGCACCAAGAGCTTGTAACACTCCAAAGAGAAAGGAAAACTTGAAATCGCATCATATGACCCCTTTAAATTCCAATTCAGTTGAATTAAGAAAGCTAACAGAATGCAAAATGCGTTTTGGATTTGAATGTAAGGAAGTAGAATTAAAATAAATACAAAAAATCATACCCATGACTGAATATTTTTAACTAGAAAAGCAATGTTTGTCTAAGACAAAATCTGAGTATTGGCTTAACAGGTCTGAAAAAAAAAAATCATATTCCATCTTATGAACTCAACAGGAGCCAAATCTGCAATTCTGTATTTTGCCCAAACCTGCTCAGGATCCATGTGTCTTCATAAAGAAATAAATAAAGCATGCATACTCTCCCTGAGGCCATAAATAAGTATGCAAATACTCAAATGCTTGTCTAGTGCGTTGCTTGCACAACTTGTATATATTTAATGCATTACAGTGCTGTGATAAACCACAGGAAGTTTCCTTGCCATGTGTTTTTATTCAGGTTACTAGTTCCTAAATATGTTGACAGTTAGCAAACTTTAACTAACTTGATTAGCAAGATTTTCTTCAAACTGCTGCTCCACCATGACCAGCAATTGACCTAAACTGGCTAACCTTGGTCCACCTACACGCGGAGTAATCACTGATGGACAGGAATGTCTAACGTGTTTGAGGTTGTCAAACCATTCCAGTTTGAAATCAAGCACAACTCCACTCACTTTTTTATTGGTGTACGGATGCCTACGTACATCTGTATGTGTTGCAGCAACAAGTTTCTCAACATTTGGTCAGCATACCAAGGGTTTTCCCTAACTCCAGTTTGCAAAACCCTGGAGGTCTATGAAGGAACTGCAGTGAGTGAAAAACTAATAATTAATTAAATAATAAAAATGTAAAATTAAAATACATTAATAATTTAAAAATAAAATTAAACACTTACTAAAAAGATTAAAGGAATAGTTCGCCCAAAAAAAAGAAAATCTACTAAAAATGTACTCATCCTCGGGCTATTCAAGGTGTACATGAGTTTGTTTCTTCATCAGGACAAGTTTAAAGAAATTCAGCATTACATCACTTGCTCACCAATGGATGCTCTGCAGTGAATGGGTGCTGTTAGAATGAGAGTCCAAAACAGCTGATAAAAACATCACAATAATCCACACCACTCCTGTCCATATGTTAAAATCTTGTGAAGCATAATACTGTGTGTTTGTAAGAAGCAAATCCATCATTGATGGATTTGAACAAGTGATGTAATGTTAAATTTCTCCAAATCAATTACAATGAAGAAACAATTTAATCTAAATCTTGGGTGGCCTGAGGTTGAGTAAATTTTAAAAAAAAATTTTTTTTGTGAACTATTGCTTTAAATATTTTATTTGCTTGCCTGCATGTCATGTGACCATTAACCAACATCAGAGAATCAAGAATACGCTAATGTATTTTTTAATTATTGAAATATTAACTTAAAATCTCAGGGGGACTTCAAATATTTTAGGTCAAAGGGCCGACAAAAAAGATTGGGAATGTCCCAGGAATATCCCTGGTATAACGGATCGTAAACTCTTGGATACGTCCTCTGTGCCACACCATTCCCATTAAAATCAATGAATTCAAAGTTGTTGTTGTTGTTTTTTAGTAGCGGGAATTTACTATTGCACAAACTGAAATGCATGGGTTTTAGCCATCAAATCATTTATACTAAATAAATAAATAAAAAATAATTCTGTGGGCTGTAAAAGAGCAACATTGGATGCACCGGGTAAATAGCACTGCCTTCACAGAAAAAAAATGATCAAAGTCTAATTTACATATAAATGATACAATGCTGTACCAGTGCAGATAGAGCCTGGTTAACCTGGACTGTGGGTTTGTGCAGATTACTGAATTCACTCCTAGCACGTAGGCGTCCTCAGTCCTGATCAGTACACCACATGGCGTGTGTGTGGCTCAAGGGGAAACACACTGGATTTACACACATCTGTTAAGAACAGAACAGAACTCCCCATAAGTCTATTAACCATTCAGCAGATATGAGGTTCAACCCCACATCGCACAGCGAGAATAAAAGTTACGCCTTCTTTCTTTGCGTGCACATTTGGGTGGCATTATGCTAATATTTCCACATAGTGATGTAGACATGTGGGGGCGTGTTAGAATGAGCCATTTTAGGTAGGTGTGGTTGACTCTTAACTTTTATAAAGAATGTCTCTTTGGATTTGAGACTTTAGTCTTTGCAACTTTACAGATCTTCTTTATGCACCAAGAGCTTGTAACACTCCAAAGAGAAAGGAAAACTTGAAATCGCATCATATGACCCCTTTAAATTCCAATTCAGTTGAATTAAGAAAGCTAACAGAATGCAAAATGCGTTTTGGATTTGAATGTAAGGAAGTAGAATTAAAATAAATACAAAAAATCATACCCATGACTGAATATTTTTAACTAGAAAAGCAATGTTTGTCTAAGACAAAATCTGAGTATTGGCTTAACAGGTCTGAAAAAAAAAAATCATATTCCATCTTATGAACTCAACAGGAGCCAAATCTGCAATTCTGTATTTTGCCCAAACCTGCTCAGGATCCATGTGTCTTCATAAAGAAATAAATAAAGCATGCATACTCTCCCTGAGGCCATAAATAAGTATGCAAATACTCAAATGCTTGTCTAGTGCGTTGCTTGCACAACTTGTATATATTTAATGCATTACAGTGCTGTGATAAACCACAGGAAGTTTCCTTGCCATGTGTTTTTATTCAGGTTACTAGTTCCTAAATATGTTGACAGTTAGCAAACTTTAACTAACTTGATTAGCAAGATTTTCTTCAAACTGCTGCTCCACCATGACCAGCAATTGACCTAAACTGGCTAACCTTGGTCCACCTACACGCGGAGTAATCACTGATGGACAGGAATGTCTAACGTGTTTGAGGTTGTCAAACCATTCCAGTTTGAAATCAAGCACAACTCCACTCACTTTTTTATTGGTGTACGGATGCCTACGTACATCTGTATGTGTTGCAGCAACAAGTTTCTCAACATTTGGTCAGCATACCAAGGGTTTTCCCTAACTCCAGTTTGCAAAACCCTGGAGGTCTATGAAGGAACTGCAGTGAGTGAAAAACTAATAATTAATTAAATAATAAAAATGTAAAATTAAAATACATTAATAATTTAAAAATAAAATTAAACACTTACTAAAAAGATTAAAGGAATAGTTCGCCCAAAAAAAAGAAAATCTACTAAAAATGTACTCATCCTCGGGCTATTCAAGGTGTACATGAGTTTGTTTCTTCATCAGGACAAGTTTAAAGAAATTCAGCATTACATCACTTGCTCACCAATGGATGCTCTGCAGTGAATGGGTGCTGTTAGAATGAGAGTCCAAAACAGCTGATAAAAACATCACAATAATCCACACCACTCCTGTCCATATGTTAAAATCTTGTGAAGCATAATACTGTGTGTTTGTAAGAAGCAAATCCATCATTGATGGATTTGAACAAGTGATGTAATGTTAAATTTCTCCAAATCAATTACAATGAAGAAACAATTTAATCTAAATCTTGGGTGGCCTGAGGTTGAGTAAATTAAAAAAAAAAAATTTTTTTGTGAACTATTGCTTTAAATATTTTATTTGCTTGCCTGCATGTCATGTGACCATTAACCAACATCAGAGAATCAAGAATACGCTAATGTATTTTTTAATTATTGAAATATTAACTTAAAATCTCAGGGGGACTTCAAATATTTTAGGTCAAAGGGCCGACAAAAAAGATTGGGAATGTCCCAGGAATATCCCTGGTATAACGGATCGTAAACTCTTGGATACGTCCTCTGTGCCACACCATTACCATTAAAATCAATGAATTCAAAGTTGTTGTTGTTGTTTTTTAGTAGCGGGAATTTACTATTGCACAAACTGAAATGCATGGGTTTTAGCCATCAAATCATTTATACTAAATAAATAAATAAAAAATAATTCTGTGGGCTGTAAAAGAGCAACATTGGATGCACCGGGTAAATAGCACTGCCTTCACAGAAAAAAAATGATCAAAGTCTAATTTACATATAAATGATACAATGCTGTACCAGTGCAGATAGAGCCTGGTTAACCTGGACTGTGGGTTTGTGCAGATTACTGAATTCACTCCTAGCACGTAGGCGTCCTCAGTCCTGATCAGTACACCACATGGCGTGTGTGTGGCTCAAGGGGAAACACACTGGATTTACACACATCTGTTAAGAACAGAACAGAACTCCCCATAAGTCTATTAACCATTCAGCAGATATGAGGTTCAACCCCACATCGCTTACAAAAACAACTTTCTGTTTATTTTATCAGAAAGATGGTTGACATGAAAGTTGAAATCTCACTTAGCTTGAGTGTGGTTGTGGGAACTTGAGTATTTTTTAAAGGGGTCATATGATGCGATTTCAAGTTTTCCTTTCTCTTTGGAGTGTTACAAGCTCTTGGTGCATAAAGAAGATCTGTAAAGTTGCAAAGACTAAAGTCTCAAATCCAAAGAGATATTCTTTATAAAAGTTAAGAGTCAGCAACACCTACCTAAAA